CCCCTTCGTCTTGTTGCTTAAGGTTGACGCACCCACGCTCCTTATGTTGCTCGCAGCCAGGTCGGCAGCGACGAGCACGTTGATGAAGGCTTGGGCGGTGATCTGCTTCCGCACGAGGGCCGATATGAGCAAAGCTTTCAGAGAAACTGGCGTGGATCCTTCGTACTTCGCCGCGACGCGGATGCGGGAGAACAGCTGGTCGAAGATCATCTTCACCTCGTTCAGGTCCGCCACCTCCGCCAGCGCCTGAATGACGTCGTCCGCCAAGGGGTGGATGTCGACCATCCCGGCCGGAGCAGCAGCCATTGTCTTCTGGAAGAAGAGCCCTTGCAAGGAAAAGGCCAGCGAAAAGGAGCTTTACCTTCTGATGTCGGCGATGTATTAATGAAACGTACGCTCGACTTTGTGAACCTTGAGCCAAAATACGACTTTTACGACGACTACTACTACTACTACTACTACTACTACTACGACTACTACCACTACTACTACTACTACTACTACTACTACTACTACTACTACTACTACTACTACTACTACCACGACTACGAATACGACTTCTACCGCGACTATTACTACTACTACTACTACTACTACTACTACGACTACTACTACTACTACTACTACTACTACTACTACTACTACCACTACCACTACTACTAGTACTACTACTACTACTACTACTACCACTACTACTACTACTACTACTACTACTACGACTACTACTACTACTACTACTACTACTACTACTACTAATACTACTACTTTTACGACTACTACGACTACTACTGCTACTGCTACTACAACTACTACCTCTACTACGACTACTACCACAACTGGTACAAGTACGGCGACGACGAACACTACGGCCATGACTACTACTACTACCACTACATTACTACTACTACTACTACTACTACTACTACCACTGCTACTATTACTCGTACTACTACTACTACTACTACTACTACTACTACTACTGCTACGACTACTATACGACTACTACTACTTACGACTACTACTAACTTACCCGCAATTCTACCTAATACGACGACGGACTACACTACTACTATCATTACTACTACTACTACTACTACTACTGACTACTACTACTACTACACTACTACTACCAATGCTAAACTACTTCTAATACTACTACTACTACTACTACTACTACTACTACTACTACTACTACTACTACGACTACTATTACACTACTAAGACTACTACTACTACTACTACTACTACCACTACTACTTCTACTACCACTACGGCTATTCCTCCCACTCCTACTACTACTACTACTACTACTACTACTACTACTACTACTACTACTACTACTAATGCTGCTACTACATCTACTACTACCACTACTACTACTACTACTGCTACTACTTACTGCAATTACTATCACTGCTACTGCTACTGCTACTACTGCTACTGCTACTACGACGACGACAAGTATTACTACTACAACTGCTACTTCTACTACTACGACCACTACTACTACTACTACGACTACGACTAGTACGACTACTACTACTACTACTACTACGACTACTCTATTGCGACTACGATTGGTGCTACTATGACTACTACTACTACTACTACTACTACTACTACTACTACTACGACTACTACTACTACTACTACTACTACTACTACTACTACTACTACTACTACTACGACTCTACTACTACTACTACTACTACTACTACTACTACTACTACTACTACTACTACTACTACTACTGCGGCCAGTACGACTACTGTTACTAGTACGCCTACTACTGTTACTGCTACTATTACTGAAACTACCACTACTCCTGCCACGATTACTACCCCCACTACTACTACTACTACTACTACTACTACTACTACTACTACTACGACTACTACTACTACTACTACTACTGCCACTACGACTGCGACTACTACCACTACTGCGACCACTACTGCTACTACTACTCCTACTACTACTACTACTACTACTACTACTACTACTACTACTACTACTACTATTACTGCTACGACTACGACTACGACTACTACTCCTACTGCGACTACTACTACTACTACTACTACTACTACTACTACTACTACGACTACGATGATTACTACGACTACTACTACTACTACGACTACTGCGACAATTACTACTACTACTGCTACTACGACTGCGATGACTACTACGACTACTACTACTACTACTACTACTACTACTACTACTACTACTACTACTACTACTACTACTAGTATTACGACGGCTACTACTACCACTACTACTACTACTGCTACTACGACGACTACTACTACTACTACTACTACTACCTCTGCTACTACGACTGCTACTACTATTACAACTACCAATACTACAACTACTACTTTTACTGTTACTACTACGACTACGACTACTACTACTACTACGACTACTACTACTACTACTACTACTACTACTACTACTACTACTACTACTACTACTACTACTAGTACTACTACTA